GTCCCAGGATTAAGCCCCACATCAGGCACCTGCTTCTCCCTCTGCCTAGGTCTGTGCCTCTCTCATGAATAAATAAATAAAATCTTTTAAAAATCTCTTTAACAAGATCTGAATCTCAGACTAGAGATTGGGGACCCCTATTCTAAGTACTTAGTTTCTTCCTATTTATTCGTTTTTACTCCTAAAAAATAATAGTGAGTCCTACATTTGCCATTTCTGTGCTCCTTAGCATCCAATTTCCCCATTCTAATGGTTAACTTTTTACTAGATGATAATTTTAATGGCATCATTGAGATATGATTCACATACTTAGACCTGTATGATCCAGTGGGTTTTACTACAATCTGCTTAGAACATTCTTACCTCAAAAAGAAACTCCATACTCATAAGCAGACACTCTCTATTCTCCATCAGTCCCCATCACAGTTTAATTCTAATCTATCATGTCTCTATAAACTTAATATTCTTGACATTTCATATGAATGGAATCAATCATACAATATGTGGTCCTCTGTGACTAGCTTCTTTCTTATAGCATATTTTCAAGGTTCATCTATGTTACAGCATTTACCAATACTCCATTTCTCTTTCTCTAAATAGTATATAATACAGATACACCACATTTTTCATTCATTGGTTGATGAACATTTGAGATGCATCCACTTTTTGACGACCATGTATAATAACATTCTAATCACTTGTGTACAAGTTTTTAGGTGAGTATATTTTTTGCTTTGGGGTATAGATCTCGAAATGGAACTGCTATGTCATATGATAACCATGTTTAATAGTTATGCCCAACTATTTGCCAAAGCACCACTTTACATTCTGACCAACAATGTATGAGAGTTTCAGTTTTGCCACATAACAGCACTTGTTATTGTCTGTGTTTTTGATTATTTCCATTTTAAAGGGTGTGAAGTATTATCTCATTGTGGTTTTGATTTGTATTTCCCTAATGACTACAGAGGTTAATTAAGCTTATTCTCATATGGTTATTAGCTACTTATATATCTTCTTTGAGGAAATATCTACTCAAATTCTTTGACCATTTCTTAATGGGATTGTCTTTTTATTGTTATTATAAACATTTTAATATATTTTGGGTACAATTCCCATATTAGATATATTATTTGAAAATATTTCTTCCATTCTGTGGGTTGTCTTCTAATCCATGAACATGGATGTCTTTACATTCATTTAGGTCTTCTTAACCTTTTTCAACAATGATTTGTAGTTTTAGTGTAAAAGTCACAAAGAATTGTAATCATTTGACTAATCTGGTAGCTTCCTGGAAACTGACTTTTGTCCACCTGAAGTTTGCCTGGAGCTAAAGCTGCTACCTGGGGGCAATGCTAAAACATTAACAGGCAAATATTTTGGTTACTGTGGGTAATAGATAACATTTGAAGCAACAGACCCAAAAGCTAGGAAGGACAGGCTAGGGAATGAATGATGTCCATTAGGGCTTTGTAAAGTTATATTCCTGGGAATCTAGAGGGCTACATGCATGGTCAGGGCTGTGTGTATTCTAAGGAAAGCCCTGAGAAGGCCCCAAGCTGTCATCTCTGACTGACCTGGAGGTTCTCCTAAGTAGAAAGCTGAGGTTAAGGCACAACTGTAAACTACCGGGCTGAGAGTTGGATGTGCACCACAAAAACACACACAGAATCCACGGCAAACAGTGGGAGATTTTTTCATTCTGGATGTTTAAGGAAATCTCTGTCCAATCATTAGCTGGCCATTAAGTTAACAACAGATACTTCAGTGGCCACACATGACAAAGAATACAGACTTTACAAAATTAGTTCAGAAAAGTTACTAGACAAACAACAACTACAACAAGCAGCAACAACAAACCCTAGGATGGAAGAGGGAGTGGAGAATCGGATGTTCAGTGTTGCCACATTATAATAATTTAAATGTTCTGTTTTCAACTAAGAATTACAAGGCATGCAAAGAGAGGAAAATATGGCTCATACACAGGAGGAAAAGCAATCAATAGATATCCCGAGAAAGCCCAGACACCGGATTTTCTAAGCAAAGATTTTAATGAAGCCACATCTAAAGAATGAAATGAAAGTATGTTTCAACCAAATGAAGACTATAAATAGAAGTAGTGAAAAGAACTTTTAAATCTAGAACTTTCAATTACAGAGTTGAAAAGTATAATAATTGAAATGAAAATTTCACTTGAGTGGCTCAGCAACAGATTTGAGCAAGCAGATGAATATATAAACTTAAAGATAGATCAACTGACATTGTACAGTTTGAGGAACAGGAAAAAAATGAAGAAAATGAACAGAGCCTAAGAGAATAGAGCCAACAAGTATAACAGCATATATATAATGTGAGTCTCAGAAAAAAAGGGAAAAAAAAGCATCGAAAAGAATATTTGAAAAAAACTCCCCAAATCTGATGATAAATATTAACCTACAAATCCATGAAACTCCAGGAACTCCCAAGTTCTCAAAGATATGTATACCCAGACATATCATAATCAAACTATTAAAAACAAAAGCAAGAGACAATCTTGAAACAGCAAGGGACTCATCAATACAAGGGATCCTCAATAAGATTAACAGCTGACTTCTCTACAGAAACCATGGAGGCCAGAAGCAGTGAGATGATGTACTCAAGGTGCTGAACAGAAAAAAACTGCCAACCAATTCTATAGTCAGCAAAATTATCCTTCAAAAAGGAAGAAAAAAATTAAGACATTCCCAGATAAACATTGCTAGAGGAATGAAGATATGTAGAGCAAAGTTTTTATTATTGAAATTATTGAATTAGATGAAATAGGTCAACTCATAATCTAATAAAAACTATGCATTTTAAATTATTTCTTTTTTCATTTGTGATTTTGGTGTCATATCTAAGACGACTACTTAAAGAGGTCACAATATTTTCATGAGTTTTATGGTTTTTGCTTATATTTTGGTTTATGATCCATTTTGAGTTGACTTGTGCATGTAGTATGAGGAAGGCTTTTTTTTTTTTTTCCCCATTCCTTTTCCCATCTGTGCTTCAGATTTTGTAATTTCTCTCCATCCAACTTCAGGTTTGCTGATTCTTCTGCCAGCTTAAATGTACTATTGAGCCTCCCTAGCAAAAGTTCCAAATTTTCAACTCCAAAATTTTCATTTAGTTCTTTTTCTTCCTATCTTTTTATTTACATTTGATGAGTCAGTCAGCAAGCATACTTTAATTCTTTAAACTTGGTTTTCTTTAGGTGTTTGAACAGATTTACAATTGTTTCATAACACTTATCCTGTATCTGCTGTCCGTCAAAAGAAATTTCTGTTGCCTGCTTTTGTCCACGTGTCACACTTTGTTTCTTTGAATGTCTCATAATTTTGTGTTGAAAACAGGTTTTAGGTAACATATTGTAGGATGTCTCCATGGTGGTTCTCCAGTCTACTCTGAGCTTATTTTTTATTTAGTGGCATGGCTGAACTAATTCGTGAAGTCTGTGTCCCTCACAATGTGCAGGGACACATCTGATGTTCCTGCTCAAGTTATTTCATTTTTATCTTTAAGGATGACTTCCTAAGGGTTGCTTCTGAGTCAGCATCATTAATGATCAGCCATTAATTAATAAAAGGTTGTGTTTAAGCCCCCTGAATCAGGGAGATTTACACCCTTCACCACTATGTGGGGTGTGGCATCTTTCACTGTTTAGGGAGTTTACAAGTTTTGTCCTACATTCTGTTAGGGACTTGTAACTCTGGTTGTTCCTATGTGGCTCTAGCCCTGAATCACACACATTAATCACAAGGGATGTCTGTAGTTTTACCCAGTCTTTGTCTGTCTCCCCGATTTGGTCTTTAAGCTTTCTGGCTGGTATCTATTGGTATTACCAGTAACTGCTAGCCTCTATTTAATTGGTAGCTGATTGTCCTATAGTTTTCAACAATTTTGGGGGTACAAACTGCTCCAGTCTGTTCCAGGTAAAGTTAGGCCCCTAGTATATGGGAAGTGTGCTGTCAAGCTCACTCAACCCTTCCCCTAAAGTGAACCCCTTTCTTTGTCTTTGTACTATGGAGCATGTTTGGTAGGACGTAGGAGTGAGGGTATGGGAAACCTGGCTCTTCGCTGAATGTCTCCCAGATCCTCCCTGCAGAGCAGTTGTGTCAGGGGTTAGAGGACAACATGGGGGAGAATCTTCTATCACATCCCAGTATGGATCTTCTATAGCCCAGAATCAGGGAGGATGGAATCTGCTCTAATGTTCACTAGCGGGATGCCTGGGTGGCTCAGCGGTTGAGCATCTGCCTTTGGCTCAGGGCGTGATCCCAGAGTTCCAGGATCAAGCCTGCATCGGGCTCCCTGCATGGAGCCTGTTTCTTCCTCTGCCTGTGTCTCTACCTCTCTCTGTGTTTCTCATGAATAAATACAAAATCTTAAAATAAAATAAAAAATAATTTAAAAAAATAATGTTCACCAGCTGCTGAATGTACACAGAATAGCTCTTCTGTCCCCAAAAAGCTTTGAGTTATAAGCTGTCATCTGGATGCCAAGCTCACCAGGGCAGGTCTCTCATAACACGATTGTGTTGGAAAGGTACTTGTACAATAAGAGTAGCTGTCCTGCCCTGATTCTCCTTATACTACAGGATTTGGGAATGGTACAATGGGCACCACTAACCAGCTGCCACCTCCCACTTGATACAAGCCTTCTGTGGAACATCTGTGTGGAAAATGGGACCTATCAAATGGAGATGTATTTAATCTTATACCCAGAGACACTGTATCTCCCAGTTAAGTTTTGTGGTTTTTTTCCTTTGGCAGCGCCACCTAACTTTTATTATTTTGTGGATCTTACTATAAATGGGTCTTCTAATTTGCCAATTGATTATTATTGTTTAGGAAAGCTAATTTTCGGAGCAGCCTGGGTGGCTCAGCAGTTTAGCGCCACCTTCAGCCCAGGGAGTGATCCTGGAGACCCGGGATCAAGTCCCACATTGGGCTCCCTGCATGGAGCCTGCTTCTCCCTCTGCCTGTGTCTCTGCCTCTCTCTCTTTCTCTGTGTCTCTTATGAATAAATAAATAAGTAAATCTTAAAAGAAAAAAAAAGGAAAGCTAATTCTTTGGATTTTCAAAATATTGCAATCAAGTAATTTGCAATTAGTATATTATTCTCTATCCAAGTTTTTCATTTTGTTTTCCTATCTTTTTACATTAGCAATAACTTATGAAATAATTGATGAGAGCAGGCACCTTAACCAAAAGAAGCAATTTCACTTGCAACCTGAACATTACCTTCACATCAAGGAAGAATTTTTCTAACATATTAAAAATGACTTTACTAGAAATGAGTATTTTTTATTTTTTAGTAAGTACATTCTAGACATTGACTATAATCATGATTTTTTAAATTGAGGTACCTAATATTAACATTCTTCCTACACTTTTTACTCAAACATTTACACTATCATAATAATGGTATGTACTTTTTAAAGAAATATGATTTTTAAATTTGGGGCACTTATTAACAGAAGCTCAAAAGACAGGAAAAAAAAAACATTCAAAGAAGACTCTGAAGAGGTAAAATACCTGTTCCAAGATATTGACTACTTCTCAATTATCCAATTAAGAACATATTTAAACCAATGAACACCAAAATCAACCAAACTGATCCTATTTCAACTGCATTATAGGAAAATTTTTCTGCTAATGCTACCTTCTCAATTAGCAACAAATAATGTCCTAGAAATTTCTCCAGCAAGTTTCACTGGATAAGATCTTCAATGGAGTCAAGGCACTCTGCTGAAAATAAGAATCCTAACAAATTGCTAAAATAAGGAATAAACAGTGCCAATACCCCGATTAAATGGGACATATTCCAAGTTAAATAAGCAGATGTCAGTAGTGGGGAAAAAAAAAATCAATGAAAAAAATCAGTAAATATTGTTTTCACCTCACCTCCATTCTCCTCCATCCCAAGAACTCTAATTACTTTTCTTAAGGACTATTTCAAATCACTTAAATAACTAGTATCTATTTCTCACCTAACCTGGACAGAAATTCCCACAGCACCTGTTTTACTGTTAATTCCTCTGTAAGATGCATTACCCTTTGCATACAAATGACCCATCTACTTTACCCACTAATCACTTTCATTACTTACATTCTCTTCACTTTTAAATACATTTACATTGGTAACTTATATGTCTATTTTTTATATTTTGTAACTTTTATACAGCTGGTATACATCACAAAAAAAAACTGTATCAAACTTGGTTTTAATTTAAAAAGTTCCATTCTAAGAGCAGATTGTTGAGAGAACTAAAAGCAAGGGGTAGTAAAAACTTTGGTGGGCCAAACTCAGCCCATGGCTCATTTCCTTAAATGAAGTTTTATTAAAACACAGGCATACTCATTGATTTACATATTGTCTAGGGCTGCTTCTGCATTATGACACTGGTGGAGTGTCTGCCTCTGGCTCAGGTTGTGAGTCCTGCATCAGGCTCCCTATGGGGAGCCAGCCTATGTCTCTGTCTTTCTCGAATAAATAAACAAAATCTTAAAAAAAAAAAAAAAGTAGTTATGACAAGAGACTAAATAAATGGCCTACAAGGTCTAAATTATTTACTATCGTAACTTACCCTTTATTAATAAACTTCCCTGACCCCTTAACAAAATCATTATCTTTCACTTAAAAAATATATATTATATTTCAATCTATTAAGTGCTTAGTAAGATAGAAAGGTAAACTTTTTAAAAATTCAACTATTTTTTTAATTGAATGCCAAATAGGCCCATTTTCAATGGAGACGGACAAATAGGGAAAAATAATGAAACACATTTCTAACCAAGAAATGTATTAACAATCCCAAACTACTGGATATTCATATTTTAGAGAACCATCTCTAGTTCAGTTTCAGCCAGGAGGAAAAAAAAAAAGGATGGACAGTTTTGATTCTGGATTTTCCACTCTGGCAATCTAAGGCTCCAAGCAGGTTCGCCTTCTTTAGAATAACCTAACAAATCAGAAAAGATACTAACTAGAGTACCTGGGACATGAAGCTTTTTAAATGGCTTTTAAAACTTTAAGGCAAAAAGTATATATCACAACATTAAATATATTTTTACTGGCATGGCTATTCTGAAATGTATTTTTATAATGCTGCAAACATTGGCAAGATCGCTGCTTCTCTCTTCTCTATTCACGGAAGGCAAGGGATTATAATAAACTTACCCATAACAGCAGAGTATTTTAATTTTATTGCTGTTAAGGTACTAAAGCGCATAACCCTATGACTTTCCTTATCAGCATAACTACAATAATTTTATGGTAAATGTTAACCTTCTCAAACAAAATCTCAAAATTTCACCTATGATGGGGGGGACCCACACTTTACTTTACATAGTTCCCTAGCATTTAAAGAAAAAACTTACTTGAAATATAAATATTTCCCATTAGAATAAAATTCCCACTTGATTTTAATACAGTAAAAAAAAATTATTGTGTAAACACAAACTTAAGATAAATTTAATTGAAGAAAATGTTCATTACAGAAATTAACAATGCTTACCATTCTTTAAACACCATATACATTATTAATATATACTATATATTTCCAATCAACTCCATTCTTAGGCTCAATTTAAGAAACACAATTGTAACAGGTTTTATACAAAAAATACTTCACTAGTAAAGTAGACAAACTGCACAAAAAAAGTACATGTATAATGTGCATAGCAAGATAGCTTGAAGCATCTATGTATGGCTTTCTTTAAAATAAAACTTTTGGGGGACTGGGCCCATTTGGGACCTACTGTTACAGTTGACATATGTAAACTGTTTCACATCTTTTAGGCACTTGCTAACAATAGTGTTCAATCCCTGAAAAATGAATTTACCCAAAAAAAAAAAAATTTCTACATGTAAAATAAAACCCAAGAAAATAACATGGGTAAAGTCTTACATATTTCTTTTAAATTAAACAACCAGTTTATTAGTGCATGCACAGAACTAAATTGAAGGAAAATAAACTTTTTATGTCAAAAAATTTTCTGTGCAAAATTTACATAACAAACTGAAAGGTACAAAAATATGTACAGGTTTAAATTCTTTCTTATATACAGAAAAGAAGCCCTGAAATTTTCAATCAATGAAAATGTTTTAACACTTGTAGTAACAATGTAACAAAAATTATACAGTAATTTGTAATACAAGAACTCCATTATCCAATAATCCAACAAAATTTGATCCAAACTTACACGGTCAAGTTTTAGTCGATGATTCTGTTGTGGTCATGAAAATATCCATTTAAAACTCTATCTGCTGGGTATATCCCCTAGGAATCTGTCCTGAAGTTTTATGCCCTGCCACTGAGTCCACTATTAATGCTTCTTCATTTCAACTGCCAACAATCAGTAAATAATCTGCTTTGGGTCGTGAGACTGAAAAGGTGCTAACAAAAATGGTTTGTCCCAATGTGTACATGTTCAGACACGCATCAGTAATTAAACAGCAAAAATCTGATTTGCTTTGCTAATCCTGCTTCAAAATATTGTTCCTGTAGAGTAATTATTAATTTTCAAGAAAAGCCATTCACTTGGAAGTGCTTCGATGTTCCACTTTTTAAATGGATGGCAACTAAGATAAAAATTGGCCATTTGGTTTATGGGGGACAAACAATTTAAATCAAGTAAGCATAGTTCTGTGCAAGAGAATCACTGGAGATTATCATCAAATTCAGAAAAATGTTCAAGTTCTTTAACTGGACCAAGAGAGTTTAATTCTTCTTTTGAAGCTGCCCATCTACTGCAATGCTTGACATAGCCATTTAGAAAAAGAAAATCACCTTGGGAGGGTATTCCAATCCCTGATATGGGACACAGCATAAAAGAGAAAAAGATTTACTCATCAAAAACTCTTTTCAAGCATCATGAGGTGTAACTGTAGTTAGTTAAATGTACTCTCAAAGAAGCCTAATATCCTTCAAAAGAACTATATTTAGCAGATGTAAAATTAAGTTCTTTATTCAAGCTTAGTGTATCTTCACAAATGAGGAGAAACTCCTTCAGTTCCATGGTGAAAGAGCTCTCCATCTTCAAAGGAGCTACACTTACCAGATTCATAAGGCTGGTGGAAGAAAAGAGGGAATGGGGCTGTCAGCCATTACCCTCTACTAAGAGTCACTATATAACTAAGTTGGGAAAACTGTTTTATCAAAATTTTCTTTAGCCCTAACTTCCCAAAAACACATTTTTTAAAAATTAAATCAAGGTACATCTGTGCTGCAATTAGTTTCTTGCAAAACTTATGTGTGCAGTGATAGCATTTTCAAATATCACACATAAAACTTTTTTAGTCTCCCATGGAAATACAGCCAACTTTCAGATGCTCAATTTTAGGTACTATATTGAAGTAGAAAATGTCTGCCTTAAGGTAACTCAACCCACTATTTTCTTCTAAGATAATTTTACTTTTCTTTTCCTTGGTAACTACAGTAAATTATTCTAATATATTCCAATCACGAGTGGCTTCCATTAAATGTCTCTGCCCATGACCAGCCCAAGCATCCTGATTGTCAAATACTCTACCACAAAACCAACAGTTAAATTTAGCTTTCAGAACATTTTCAGAGGTAGTTTTCACAATCTGATAATTGTTTTTGCTTGTCTTTTTGAGTGTTAATTTTAGCACAAATCTTTCTTTCACAGAACTAACAGGTTTCAATGTTTTATGTCTTTTGGAAAAATCATCATAAATTCTTTTTGAAGAGTTATCACAAACTGGTTTCAGTAAAGCACTGATAGTTCTTTTTGACAATGAAACCTTAAGTACACGTCCATTAAATTTAGCAATAGTTTTCATTACACTTACTACTTCTGGTGCATCTGCATCAGGATGATTCAAAACTACAACTGGTTGGTTTCTCCTAGGACATTTCACAAGCTGTTTGGAACTAAAAGGGAAAAGCCGCAAAGTTCTGACTGAATCTTTTGAAAGCCTCGGTCTGTTAAATCCAAATGATTCACGGGCATCTTCAGGTTTAGACTTTTCTTTACACTTTCTATGTAATGTTGCTTTTTTTCTTGGAGGTTCCTGGTAACTATCTCTGCACTTTCGTTTACAGTTTCTGTTCCTAGATACAAAGGCAGTTTCAGAATCTTTACTTCTTACATCAGTTTTTATTCTTGAAAATTTTTTTTTCGAAGTCTTTTCTCTATTGAAGTTTCTCTCAATTGTACAATTTGTTTTACACCTTAATACTCTGGTGTCCGAATGGTCAGTGAAACACATTGGATCCTCAGAAGATTCTGGGCATGTTGCAGTAGAAGTTATCACAATTTCATTTGCTGGCATCATATCATCTAGTAAGAAGGGTAAGGCATCTCTAGAAGATTCTGGCTCTCTCTGCTCTCCTATAGTTTGATTAGATGGTACCTTGTCTTTCTGCACTGAGGATGCAGAGGTACTTACAGACAGATTGTTAGCAGCAGTCACATTTAAAACAGGGTTAAAAATTTTCAGCAGTATTTTTTGTGGTGTTCCTTCAGGTTTCTTTGGCTGTATGTTTTGATAATACGTACTATTTTGGACTAATTTAGGCTTAAGCAGCTCAGTCTTATTTGGCATCACACACTTTAAAAAAACAGCTTGTTTGCCATCAGGCAAGAGGGTATAAAGAGGTGGTTTTGGAAAAATCTCATTCTGCTGTTTTACTGAGTCCAAGATATTCAACTTGGTGCCCTGATGCTCAGATACTGTATTAGGAGTAGAAACAGCTTTTACTGAAGAACTTGCTGATGTTTTAATGATGTAAGGGCCTTTTAATGACAAAGTATTTTCTGAGCTACTTTTCATGCTCAAACAACTGCCAATGCTGGAACAAAGTGCAGGTGTCAGACAATTACTGTTTGGTTCTACCTTCAAAAAAGGTGTTCTGCAAGGTTCCTTAGTTGGAGTTCCACAAGCTTGAGCACTCTCAGTTTTGACAGTAGAAACACCTTCAAGTTTCCCATTATTAAATGTTAAAATCATCCCAGGTTTCTTGTTTAAAAGAAGAGAAGTAGGTACACCTTGTGTACTGACCAATGGAAGTGGTCTTCCTGAAACAATATGTAATCCAGGTTTGTTAGCAATGTGCAATGGTACAAAAAAGCCTTTTGGAGTTTGAACAAATATAGCCTTTTTTGGTTCTGAATTCAGAAGTGGACTCGGTCTATATAAAGAACCTAAATTTTGTGTAGTGGCGCGTAATTTATCTTTAACCAGCTGTTGTGTTATTATTGCATCTGACTGAGTCTTAAGTAATGTGCCAATACCTGAAATTCTAGGTGTCTTTTCTGAATCTCTCACATCTTGTGATATTGACAGGTTTTGTTTTTCTTTTCCACTGCATTTTAAATTCAGATCATTTGTAGGCACATTAATCCCTAAACTACCAGATGGAATTGGGAAGATGCCTTGTACTTTAAAGTCTTTTGAAGATTCAACTATTTTGCCTTCTCCCTCAAGTTTCTGAAATGACTGGTCACAATGAAGTAGCAGGCCTTTATCTGGAGTGTTACTAATACTACAGTCTTGTTTTACATCAGATTTTGCTCTTAATCCATCCTGAAGTAATTGGTTTACTTCAGGTGGCAAAAATTCTGATGCCTGTTGACTCTGGAGAGAGAAAACAGATGTGATTCTAGGCATCATAGGTGACTCAACATTAGAAATGCCATCCCACTTAGATTTTTCAGTCACACTGTCTAAATTTTGATTTTCATTAGTGTATAAATTCTGTCCATCAACGTTCTGTCCTTTTTCTAAAACAGACTGTTCTTCGATTTCAGCTTGCATTTTTAAAGTTCCATCTTTAGTATTTAAAAGGTTAATAGATGCTAACATGCTATCTGGATTTGAACTCTCTTTCCTCACCAGTGATAAAACTGATTCACTTATTGGCTGCTGAACAACTGTCTTGCTTGATGAAGGTTCTTTTTGAGGGTTTTCACACATCCCTGTTCCTGAAAACCTACGACGTTTATTAGAATTATTTACTTTTGAGTAATTATGAAAGGGTAATGATCCTTGGTTGGAAGATTCAACAGGTAATTCAGAGTTGACATAATTAATGCAATAGTTATGCATATCTCCACTGTTGTATGCATTTTGCTTGGTAGTAGAGGTGACTTTATCTGGACTTTTAATGGTAGTACCTGATATCTCAGAGTGACTCTGAGTAACATAACTTCCCCATAGGTCAATATTATCCTTTGTTTCAACTTTTGTGGTCAAATTTACTGATGCTGTAACCAATTCTGATGCTGACAAAGATGACACATTTTTTTCATCATCCATTGTTTGGAGCACATTACTCATTTGAGATAGCAAAGCCATTTCTTTTTCTGACGTTACTTTCCCTGAAAATATAGGAGATGAACATGAAAATGGAGTAGTTGCTTTCATGTAAACTGTGTCACTTAATTCAGCTGTTACTCCTGCTAAAAATCCAGTAGTGTCCAAAGTCTGGGGCTGCAAATTGGCAGTACTGTCCTTTGCAGCATCTGACTGTGAACCTGGTGAATATAAATTCTGTTTATTGGTAGGTAACAATTTTATTACAATATGTTGTTTTCCATCCACCATCTTAAAGCCCATAAAATCAGCACTGTAGTTAGCAGGAATGGTTATTCTATTATTTTTCACCATTAACACTGTAGGTCCTTGTACAGCAGTTTTCAAGAAACCTAGAGTAGAATTTGATCCCTCTTCAGCTCTATTACATTGCCCAGTGGACAGAAGAGCTGGCTTTTCTGATTCTGACTCAGCAGGTTTATCATTATTCTCACAGTGTGGTCTTTCATCCTTTCCTTCATTTAAATGCTCTTGAATAAGATGGCTCTGGTCTTCAGATTTAGCCTGTGTTTTGTTCACTTTTTTAAGCACTTGAGTGTTTTTTTCTATACTTCTGTCACTTCCATTGTTGATCTTCTTGCGTTTCCAGAACGTCTTCCTTGATGCATCTATTCTGTATCTTTTCAGTATCAGCTTAAGTCCTGCTGAAGTCTTTGCCATCCTCTTTTCATATTTGTCTTTTTCCAGTTTTTCTTTTGCATATAAGTGTTCTTTGTGCAAAGTTATAACATGTCTTACCAAGTGCTCTCTCCTAGTGGCACCATAGCTACAATATTGACAAGTGAAGGGAAATGTACCAGAATGAACATGAAGGTGCTTCTGAAGCTCTCCTTTGGTAAAACATACATGATGGCACTTACCACATTTATAATGGATCTCATTATGTCTATGAATGTGCTGAACAAATGTGCCAACATCCTGGGTGGAGAATCTGCACTTTTCACATTGAAAACTACCATTTACACAATGTGTGGATGCAAAATGCTTTGTCAAGTCTAATAAAGTATATACACTCTCATTGTTACAAATGTCACATTTTACTAAAGTGCTTCTATGTGTCCGTCTGTGTTGTTTAAATATCTGGAAGTCATTTGCTGAAAAACTGCACATTTCACAAGGATATGAAGGTAATTCACCACGGTGCCACATTTGAAAGTGTTTCTGCAAATCATTTGGGCTATATCGAGTGCTATCTCGGCATTTTAAACAGTTGAAATTGAGTATTTTTGCAGACATTTTTAAACCCTCTTCTTCAACTCTCTCAGACTTATGGAGCAACATACACTCCTCTACACAGCTTACAGTCCTTACACTGATAGATTTTCTTGCAGTCTGTGGTTGACGCTGAAATAATTTTCTGTATTTGTCAACTTCATGTTTCAGAACGACTTCATTTGGAATATTTATCTTCGGCAAATCAATTTTCACATTTTTTAGTTCATAATGAAAACTACTTTGTGAAATTTTTGGCCTAGGTAGTGATCTGAAGGAATCCACTATTTCATTTTTCACATCATAATCTTTTTTAAAAGTAGTTTGTTTTTCAACAAAAAATAACTGTTTCTGTTCAGATGGCATGATTTAACCAAAAAAATCCCAATTTCTTTTTTCTCTAAAAACTGGTTACTTGTAACTTAAACAGGAAAAAATACTGTGCCAAGACATCTTCAAAATACCAGAATTTTTCCCACATTAACTCACCTAAAATCAAACAAAGAATTGAATTTTCATAAGTAGTCAGTAAATTTCATATTTTAAAATTCATTTTGACACAAAATAGGCATGTTGATCAAACATATACATAAAAGATATAAAAAAAAACGTAAGTATTTTAAGAACAGCTTACCAAGAAGTAATAATTTGAAGTAGAAATAACACTAATCTGGAAGTCAGGAAATACAAGTTTTACTTCCGTCTCTGATCTGTGACACTGGGCAAGCTCCAACTTCTCTGAACCTGTTTTGTCATCTAAAGAAAACCATAATTGGAAAAGCACCTTTAAGCTCTAAGGTTTTTATATTAAATTGATATTACAATATTTAAACAGGATTTTAAAAATCTTAATGATAACCATAAAAATTTAAGTTCCAATTACACACATGTCACCAATTAATACCCATGTACTATTTATTAACTTCCTCATTTCCTTAGCTGACCCTATGGCTATTATCTTGTGAGAAATTCAACAGGCTTCTCTCCAGATTTTCTATTTCCTTAGTGCTTCAGAGATATATATGTTTAAAATAAGTTTCATTTATCTAACAACAACAGAAGACATTATCTGCTCTTTCAAGTTATCATTACTAACTGATTAAAAAGAAAAGAAAAGGAAAGAAAAGAAAAAGAATAAAAGAAACGAAAAGGAATAGCACAGTTTGCTGGGGTACTATCAAAGCCTACGTACTACCTTTTTGGTTCCCAACCATTTGGGCTTTTTGGCTCCTGTCCCTAGAACTCAGGCAGAAGGCAGCAAGAAAAACTCTTGGCATATGAGATTGCACCATTACTATCCACCTCCATTAATTCCAACACTTACTGGTTTGGTGTTACTCTAGATAAGTCTCAATCTTTGTCTTCGTTTCTTCATCTATAAAGTGAAAAAAAATTTAATACTTTCCCAGAATTTTTCCCACATTAACTCACCTAAAATCAAACACTGAATTTTCGTAAGTATTCAGTAAATTTCATAAAGTTCATTTTGACACAAAATAGGAATGTTGATCAAACATATACATAAAAGATATAAAAACACTTGTTAAGTACTGGAGTATCACAGGGTTGTTGTAAAGATTAAATGAGAAAACATATGAACAGTATCCCGTAAAGTGCTACATAAATGGTAGCTATCATTACTGTATGTGGAATAACACATTAGGAGTTAAACTGCAAAAGAATAAAAAATAGTAAAGTAATAAGATGTGATAAGAATGCTAAGAATGGAATCTGCATACTAAAGGTTCAGTAAGATATCAAAATGTATACTAGGGGAATTAGATTTTCTTACTTTTCTCATCTTAAATACATAAAATCTTGACCTCAGGGTTGTGAGTTCAAGACCCACACTGGGCAGAGATTACTTAAATAAAAACTTAAAAAAATTTTTTCAATGAATCGAAGTAACTAGAAACTTTGTTTCAGAAATCCTTTATTAAGGGAACATAATTAAAAGCTAAATTACTTTACATATTAAGAAACCCTTTTAATATTTCTCACACTTAGTAATTTTGATTGGATCTAAAAAACACATTCTTTAATAGTCTTTAAATATATATACATACACTAAACTGATAATGAATTCATTAGCAGGGCACCAGTTTACTGATTTTTTTTTTAGTAGTGAAACATCACAATTTCATTATTCACTGCCACACATTGTGCTCTGACTCATATCACCTCCTCGGAGTTAATCTGCCAAGGGAAGTAGGATGCTCAGGAACTGTACAAAATATGGAATGCTTCACATATTTGCATGTCATCCTTTGCAAGGGGCCATCTTCTCTGTATTGTTCCAACTTCAGTATATGTGCTGCCGAAGCACAAACTGGTTTTACATACTATTTGTAATTCAGTAAAATATTAAAACTTTTACTTAAAATGTTTTACTATATTATTTAAAGCAAAATGTAAAAACTTTTTCTTCAAAAGTAAGAAAAACTAATAAATGTCTAGAAGAAAGTTCAATGACATCTGGTGGATACTCCACACCAACTGAGAAGATTGCCTACAGGGTGCTACATTCTCAACAGTGACAAGCATCATAATTACTGAGTGAGATTTCACCATATCAGAATCTGAGAGTGAGGTTCAAACGTGAAACTTCTAAGCACACCTATAATGGATCTCCATTTGGCTGAATACCATATTGTGGTCAATCTGGATTATCCATATTCAAGCCTTTTTATTATACACATAAGAGTCTGTATCATGGGTTTTATTGCAAAAGGGAAATTGCTTCTTGCAGTAATATTACACGTGTCCAAAAATATATGCATGATACTAAAATAGATTGATAATCTTTCTAAATATCATTAACTCCATTTCAAAATATCTACACAATTTAAAATTTTTCTTATAACACATACCCCAGAGTCTGACAACCAGTGTAAAAGTGGGATTTGAAACAACTCAATCAAATAACACTAATAAATGCCTACTATGAATGTGAGGCATTTTGATGCATGCTGTGGAAAGATTCAAAAACATGGTTCCCCACCCTACTGCAGCTTACAATCTGAAGGAAGAGGCAGGACATATACATTATTATATTGTTTGAGAGTTGACCATTCAGCAACCTCACCCTTCCAGGACATCAAGAATAGAAAATAATTAAGTAGGATGCATGGCAGCCAAAACAGATGTCACAAAATACACTCATTAAAGTGTATGTCCTTTCAACACAGGCAAACCAATGTTAATGAAAGGGATCTTAGTAAGAAATCCATTTAGCTTTTACTTAGGTTTGGTAACTGCTAAATAATTAATACTATCAGTATTTTTTACATTTAATGTATGCCATGTACAATACAGTATTAGGGAAGTTTGTGTATTTTAGGTAGTTTAGGGTTTGTTATTTACCCTCAAATTTTAAATTTGGAGAATCTATTTTGTCTTCAACTATGTTCAACCTGTGTATGTGAAAGCAAATTATACTAGGGTTGGTAGCAAATTATACTTAGGGTTGCCACCTATGGGCAAAAAATGTATTGTGTGTTGTGAATTTCTCAGATAACATAAAAAAAGGAAAGAGGGGGCAGCCGGGTGGCTCAGTGATTTAGTGCCGCCTTCAGCCCAGGGTGTGATCCTGGAGACCCGGGATTGAGTCCCACGTCAGGCTCCCTGCATGGAGCTTGCTTCTCCCTCTGCCTGTGTCTCTGCCCCCACCCCGCCCCCATGTGTCTCTCATGAGTAAAGAAATAAAATCTTTAAAAAAAAAAAAAAAAAAAAAAAGGAAAGAAATTTTACTATAATTTTAATCTTCCAACCTACTAGCTAATGCTCTTCTCACTACAGTTCAATCTTTACCACCAACAAGGATTACTGATTTTAAATCTCCCATTTAAACTAGAGCCCTCTCTCTACATATTATTACCCCCTAAGACTTGACTAACATCTCATCAAGCCTTGAAAGAATACTATTTGCAAAAAGTATGCCTAGCCCTTTCAAGTAACCTGGTGAATTGCCTGCATCAAGGTGGCAACTTACACATTTGATTTCCCTCTTCTTCCAACTGCCCAATAAACGCAAGCCAAAATATGTAATAAAGTTCTACAAAATGACTAGAAACCAGAAAAACATTCCATACACATACTGCGGGGTATTAGGTAAGAAACAGTCCAGAGAGAGAAGAATGAAAATAGATGGTAAGCCAGTATCAAGCACCACTTTTAAAGAGGAATTTCACTAGAGAACATTCATTTAACTAATATTTAATCAGCATCTCCATGCCCTAAGTAAGAAAGTAAAGAACATAAATTGCCCACTCCCTCCCTGAACATACCTTGGGATTCGAGAAAGTGAGGACTTGAGAGGAAGATCATGTAGTACCCTTTGAGGTGATAAAAAGATCAAGCTGAGGTATGGGACAGAGGAGAATGAATCCAGAGTTTTGAGCTGAGTCCAGGGGTCGAACTGGGAGTTGTTAGCACCAGCTGTTGGGAAAGATATAAAGAGGAAATTTTTTCTGAACAGAGGTAAGTCTTCCTATATCCATGCCTATTTTGTGTTTAACAGTTCTGTCCTTTATCCACATAAGTAAATTATCTGTAAGCTGTCAGGAAAAAATATTAATGTCTCCCCTCCTTTTAACTAAAAAATTGAAAAAAATCCTGGTTCATATTTTAAGAATTCATCTCAACCACCAATGCTATCAGAAGTTAGTAGGCAGAAACATCACGAGCTGCAGTAGCTCAACAAAGAGAAAATAAACTGAACACTAAGAGAAACCCCTCTTAATCCTCCCAGCCAGCAATGAAAAATAGTGACTACATAAAAGTTACTACTACCGGAAAAAGAGGCAAGCCTAGGAGGTAAAAAAATCAAGTAGTAATTGGCAATTTCTGTAAGAACTAAGAACATACTGCCATGAAAGAGAGAACAAAGTAGATGGGAGAGAAATAATAATTTTGAAAAGAAGAAAAAAAATAACATTTGAGTTTTGGGTTTTTTTTATAGACCTGAATTTTCAAAATCAAAGGCTCCTCAAATGCCAGGCAAGATTATTAGTGAGAAGAGAATATAAGACTCAATGTTTACAACTTATCCTAGTTAAATTTTTGAGTTTATTTGTTTTTTAAAGATTTATTTATTTATTCATGACAGAGAGAAAGAGAGGTAGAGACACAGGCAGAGGGAGAAGCAGGTCCATGCAAGGAGCCTGATGTGGGACTTGATCCCGTGACTTCAGGATCATGCCCTGAGTCGAAGGCAGATGCTCAACCACTGAGCCACCCAGGCGTCCCAATTTTTGAGTTTAAAAAAGAAAAATGAAATGCTACCAAAAAAGGTAGAGGGAGAGTTATCTAATAAGGTATTTGATTTTTCATCAGCACTGCCAACTTTAATCAGAAATCAATATTTTCTTTTTTAGAAATCAGTATTAATCAGACATTCTACTTACAAATCATATTAATCAGACATTTTACTTACAAATCTAAATGCTAGAAGACAATGGAATAATGTTTATAGAGTGCTGAGGAAAATGGATTAACCTAAGAATTCTAAACACAAAAAAAAATTCATATGTGAAGAAAAAAAACACAATTTTAGATGTGCAAAGATTTAGAAAATACACTACATATATACTCTTTCTGGAATAAAGTTTCAAGTAAATATGTCAGCAAAATCAAATTTCAGTCAGAAAAAAAGAATTTAACAAAGGAAATATATAATAGAAGAAATCTCAATAAAATCTATGAAATAGAAATAAAAGCAAATATTTTGTTAATACAGCTTTTTAAAAAGCAGAAAAGACTGGAAAGGAAGACACAACACAACAAATATGTAAGAGGTCTTTAAAGAAAAATTAACAACAGGCAACAGGAGACATGGCAATAGCAACAAATTTCTAGATGCTGGAAAGCAGATAAATGAGTGAACGACCTTGCAGAGCCAAGAAAATGTAATCCCAGACAGCAGGGAAAGCTAAGAACTAACCTATTTTACACTCTGAATCTTCGAAAGGCTTAGGAACTGGGAGCACCAACTAACTATGAAATGGAAAGAAGGGAGGAGAAAGCTAAAACAAAGAGAAATTTGGAGAAATCTGCTTGAGCTCCGGTTAGATTCTAGGATTCTCTTCCCCACTCCACATGGTAGGTTACTGCTATTTCCCCACCACAGCAGATGCCTGCAGGTTTATTCTCTGCAGAATGTAGACAGTCTCTTAAACAGGGGATACCAGACACAGTTGAGAGTGGGTACCATATCCAAAGCAAGAGGATTAAATGACCATATATGGATGAGACACAAACTCCAAACCAGGCTCCCTTTGCCCCTTTCTACACTGGCTCCTAGGCTAAAATAGTGGTACTAAAAATATGTTCTGCTGACGGTCCATGAAACATTTGTCACCAGTCCACGACAACATATACATGGAAACTGAGAGTAAGCATTCACAAACTACTACTGCAACTTTACAAAGTTAAGTTTCTATCTGTTGACTCTAACAATAAAAATGTGGACTTGTATTTTGTATGCCTTCATTTTCAAAATTTCATTTTCTAGTAATAGAGGCACTATGATATACTAATGATACAATCTTTATGGTTTGCTATATATACTTACTTACATTTAATATAACTTCATATTGTTATCATTACATACACAACTGCACACATATTTTTATAATACACCAGATAATGTAAATCTATACATGACCGAGAACAAAGTATATAACTTCTGATTCACTTCTAGAAATGTATCCTAAAGGTAATGATCATGTTCACTGAAGCACTGTCTACAAAATCACAAAATCAAAAATGATAAAATGCCCACCAATAAATAATGGTTATTTTCATTCAACAAAATATTATTCAATTTTAAAAACAATATTGTAAGCCTACATTTATTAATAGGAAGATACCCAAGATGCATTCAATGAAAAAAATATCAAATATTGATAGGTGTATCAAGAATAGATGGATAAGCAAACAAACACATGGACCCATACAAACTCATAGTAAAAAGTCAAGAATATACATATAAAAATGTTTATAGTGATTACTGGTCATCCTAAGGTCAATGTTTCTTAAAATGTCCTTGGACCATTACGGCCTTCACGTTGGCAAACTTCCTTATCACAGCACAGTAAACAGCTTACATTTGGATGTAACAAAAATGACCTCTTTGCCTCTAGACCTCAGTTACGATACTTTATCAAAAAATGGCATGAAGCCATGAAAATTTCGAAATTCTCAAACAAAGCAAGTGAATTCTATGGTAAACCAACTGAGTTTTTTCTGAACAAACTTAAAATAGTAAAACTGATGCCAGCACAAAGTTGAGGAATGGTAATGCTAAAGAGGAAATCAAAACAAAATAGGTATCATTCAACATTGTACTATTCACATCAGTACAGATACCCAACCACACCTCTAGAGAAAAGACTATACAACAGCCATAAGATTATTGTCAAACATAATACTCAGAGAATAAAAAATTATCTATGTCACTCATGGTATATAAATTCATGATACTGAGAAGTAATTTTTTTGCTTAGTTAACAGTTTATTTGTGAGCCATGAGGTTACTTAAAAAGTAAGTAAAGGAAGTTGGCACCACCAGAGTAACAGTTATGCATGCAGTGTTATTACACAAAGACAAAGCTGTATGTATTTTATATAGAAAACAAATGGCATTCAACTAATATGCCTCCTAATCTTGGTACATCCTTAAAAGAAAAAAATTTAAAAAAAAAACTAAAACTTTAAAAACTAGAGTAAAAAGTGTAACACTGATCTAAATTTGACTATCATTTTTCTATACAAGTATCCCTGCTTTATGAAAGTTCATTTTTCAAAAGTTCACACTATACCACTTCACTTACAAGACCTACATTAGTTTTGCTAACTAAAAGAAACCCAAAGAGGATTTGTTTTTAGAAAAAAAAAAAAAACTGGAGAGTAAAAACAATATTCAGCCCTTGTTTTGCAGTGCTGTTAAGGAGAAAGCACGCAGTCCAAGCCTTGAGAGCAGCATTGCCAAGCTCCTCTCCCAGAAAATACAATTCAGATATGTCATCATCAAGAGGCCATAGCTTTGGACAGTGTCTATGGGTATCTGTGATTTATCTCAATTATTTTATGCCTCTATCAGCAAGATGTGCCCCTAGGAAATCAGAAAAGCCCAAGAATAAACTTATTTTGGGGTGTCTGAGAACATTCAAAATTTTTCCACATAAATTAATGGTAACTGCTTCTTTGCTTTGTATCAACTTACAAAAGGTTTCATAAGAATGTTCTGTTTTCAGACAGTGGGGGAAAGCTTTATATTATACAAAGAAATGAACAGCAAGGATAATGCTGAACTATTTTTACATCAGTTAAGCATATTATTCTTCAATAAAGTGTTAGTTTTCATCTGACAAAATTTTATTGAGAATTTTCTTTTTTGATGCTATCTTTAATAGTCTTTACATTGGCATTATGGAGAATATATAAAATGAATTGGAGTAATTTTTACCATTTCACCTCCTCTGGAAGAGTTCAGTAAACATGAGAATTGCCTACTCCTTAAAATTACATGACTGCACCAAAAATACCCTATATGCCTGAGACCTCTTTGGATTTTAGGCCTTACAAATCTTTGCAAGCTCTTCTGCAGTTTTTTGGCTCTTAGGGGTTTCTACTGCTTGAGTCACTTTTCACAATTTATATTTTCCCTGAAAATAACCAATAGCCTTCACATCGTCTAAGAATATTCCCATAGACCTCACTTTTAACAATCTACCCTACAGAAATAAATGCACAACATATGTATCTGTCACTTAAATGTCTATGAGTAGAAGAATGATTAAGTAAATTATAGAACATCCATCCACATGAAAATATTATAAATAAAAAGGCTTATGTATGAAATTGACTCAGATTTCATTGTGGATTTTTTTTTCGTTTTTAAAAAGAGAAGTTACAGATGAAGGCATGTAATACATTTTTTTTTAAAGATGTTATTTATTCATGAGAGATACAGATAGAGAGAGAGAGAGAGAGAGAGAGAGAGAGAGAGAGACAGGCACAGGCAGAGGGAGAAGCAGGCCCCATTCCACGCAGGGAGCCTGACGTGGGACTCGATCCCGGGTCTCCAGGACCACACCCTGGGCCGAGGGGGCGCTAAACCGCTGAGCCACTCGGGCTGCCCCAGTACATTTTTAAATTAGGAGGGAAAACCTCATTTTCATGTCAGGAGCAAAAATACTTTGAGGGTATATTTGTATAAGCTAGACAAATCTACAGAAAGATACCTCACAAACTACAGACACCAGGTTAATTTTCTTAGGAAATGATAGCATGGTGGAGCAAAAGATAGATGTACCAAAAGGCGGGGAGAGAATCCTCAACTCTCCTGAGTACTACTGTGAGTGAAGCAGAGGGCAATGTTACTACCACAAGTCTTTACTGAGGCTTGTATCTATTCCTGCTCTTGAATTCTAGGA